GGAATAGCTAGACGCCAAAGATTGCCATTCAATCCAGACTCTTCGCGTATTTCGCCGAATATAATCGATTAGAAATTACAATAAAAAACAACGATTGAATGTAAATCAGATTCATACATTCATGTAACCGTACATTATTTCATGCCTTGCGGCCCTTTTGTTTCTATTTCTAGGTGCGAAAGAATAGCGATTTAGCTCCTTTAACAGAACAATAAGGACATTTTGGACAATATCTGCCATCTTGTTTTTCAAATTCACATTAAATCAAAATCTCACACTGATGTACACACATAATTTAACTTTTAAACTTTGCTTTAAAATTATTAAAACTATTACTAAAATCGATGTTCACTGACAAACTGAACCTTACAAAGATATTTATAACAATAATCTAACTTACAAATGAGTGTATGAGTCTCGCAGTATTGGCTTCATCCGTGAACTTCGTGATGTTCCCATTGCAGAACAAAGTTTGAATCGCAACATATCCTCTACGTTAATTTGTTATCTTTCTCAGGCCATTGAATACCTTCCAGGGTTTAAGATAGTCATCAAACTCTAGCACTTTATTCAAATAAGGTTGTCGAATTTGTTTTATCGCAAACTTACACTGGTCAAACCTGCCATATTTTAATAAACGCCGACGGCCCGGCTGTCCAGTGAGAATTAATGAGTGGTTGACGGAATGTAGAGTCGTTGACTTTGATCAGACCGGTCATTAGCGAAGTGTTTCTCACCTTTGCGTATCATGATATCTTCAGTTATAAAAATATACACTTACTTTTAGATTCTTCTCTTGGTATTAGATGTATTTCGTCTTCTATTAAAACATAATTCATATTAATTAGGGTGTGTGTTCACTCATTGTTGGTTTTATATATCAGATAGACTGTTCCATTAATACACTATATATATAATTTAATAAATGTATGTTGAACTGTTGTTCACAATTTCGCCAACCAAATTTGATCACTTCTCAGACATATATGGTCTCTGGTAATGTCGTGGATATAGAAGTGATCAAATTTGGTTGGCGAAATTGTGAACAACAGTTCAACATACATTTATTAAATCTTGATACTGAATCTTTAGTACCAAAAGGAGATTTCGGCCATTTAACTTTTTTCCATTATTGTATATGACTTCCTAAACGTACCCCTCAATGTCATACCTGTACTATTTGTAACCATTTATGTTCGTTTTAAAGGAATTGACAAGAATAAAGGCTAAAATACAGAACTATACATCAGACATAATACATATCAATTATATAACATTAAACAGTTTTTATAAGATAAATATAGGTTAATTAAACTACAATAAGCCCACCTGCATTCCGTACAGCTCTATAAAGATGTCTAGTATGTCGTTCTGCAAGAAAATATATCAATTCAATACAGATTCGCAAAAAGTACACGATTGGGTGATGATAATTAGCTAGATCTGAGACATAGTGGTGTAAGAAGGTTCTTTCAAATATTCAGAAAGTAATATGAATAATTATGAGAAATGGCCCACAACTTTTTTCCAGTTGGCCGTGTAGGGAAGGGCGAAGTCCTAGAGTTATTCTCTCTAAAGAGACCAAACAAAAAGACAATAATTACTTAAGTATTATGGTTTATAACAGTAAACAGAAGATTGAAATATTTTATAGAAAGTATTATCTGGTTTCCTGCCACATTTATCCCAATTGGTTTTATCATTTAGGCCAGGTAGGAATTGCAGATCCGATATTAATGTTCGTAATGAAATACACATGTCAAATAAAGCAAAGTTGTAAACTACTAAAATGGTAGTGAGCAAATTACTTTCAAAGAAATGCATAATTATTATTACTAGATCACTTTTGAACACAGTAACTTCTAGTACACATTATGTATATTTTATAATACATATTTATTCATTAACATCAAGGCTTTATGTTTCAAATCAAATATTAATTGTTAGACATACAGGTTTATTTCATTTAATGATTCGTGCCATTAACAAGAACTGGTTGGTACCAGTACCTATTAATTCAGTAAATTACATCTGATGAACATAGTCAATCAAAAGTTTTACACCACTATGTACACATGAAATATTCAGATCTGCAATATTTTTTTTCCAAAATCACACAAACCCCTATCGTGCTTTTCACAAATTAGCCAAGCGTCTAGATGATAGCTCCATAAGCTAATTTAATTGTCGACAAATTGCTTTTGTCTTGATCAGTTGCCGCCATGACAGCTAACAGTGCATGACGCATGATAAAAATACATCAACAGGGGGACAGTTAAGGATGCATTATTCAAGAGCTAAATTTTCCTATCGCAGATCTTTTTAGTCGCAAATGTTTCATAAATTATAAATTTGACATTTATTCAAATGGCAAGCCCATAATCAACTCTCTAGAACATCATTGGTCGAGATAATTAATGGAATGAAACACGATCATCATTTAATAATTTAATTTAACATCAACATTTTGCGAGAGGAACAGGGAAAATCGATAAGGTTCGTCCTCTCATTGTCACATCGAATATGAGGGATTCTTGATGCGCACCAAAATCAACCTCATTCAATATCCTATATTATTTTAAGTAGCATTTACATTGGTCAGACATCGTGGCCTAGAGAATGTCGACAACCGTGATATTACATGCGTTTGCACTATTGTCGTAAAGGCGAGTGTCCATTTTGTCGGGAAGTGTCAATCTGATTTTCATGAAATTTGAACTCAACCATAGTTAAGGTGTCGCGGTGTTTATCTGAACGCGTTTTAAAATCAAATAAAAATGGTGACCTCTAGATAGTCCACAAGCCTATAAAGTGATTTTTCGTACATTAACGGTCTATAATCCCGGACGTTACGGTCCAGTATTTGTCAATATCGAAAGGAACCGAGATCTGTGGAATATTTTCATGTTTTAAACTATTACAACGAGAACTGTAGGCTCTTGATCCAAATCTTACCTAATTCCTCTGTAATGTAGACTCATAATCCGCACCCACCACCCATATTGCAACCCTTTAAAATTAAATACTTACTTCTCCTTTTAACCAACAATATTATGCAGGTAACTAATATTATAACAATAACCACAGCAAATGCTATACTAAAGATTGTACCAAGATGTAATGATGAGTTGGAAAATGTTTGGTCAAGCATGGAATTGTTTTCTGCAATTGAAAAGAGAAAGTTGATAACCGGTACAATTTAGGTTTATTTTAATAGGAAAAGTACATTGATAGTGGTCGATGATGATCATTCTCTGTCTAGACTAGTTCAGGATAAGCATTTTGATCCGTCGACGCTGTGAATCACGGTAAATTTTTTGATTGTAATTGAGTGATAGCGGTGAAACGTAGTGTGTCATAGGCGTTGGAGCGGGGGGTGGGAGCATCCATGCTTTCTGGTCATGGGGCTTAGTATATATATATATATATAAAACAAATAATGTATATTTTGTGAAAAACAAAAACATTTTAATTCCATACGGCAAAATAAAGTACCCGAAATCCCGTGGCTGTTTGGTCTGTAGTTAGTCTGGGTTGTGCGACAGTTTTCGTGTTTCGATCATTATTTGTGTGATATAATTTTTCTGGAATCGAAATATCCTACAACTGACTGATGGATAAAACATTTAAAATCAATGTAAGAAATAATGAGTTATATTGGACCATCTTCGAGTTATTGTATTCACGTTAGCGGCTGGGTTGAACAGGACGTTTTGTTCGGCCAATATTATTTCTGTTCCATCTCACCTAAAATCTTGAATTCAGGTGGGCCGCACAGAATGATATTGTGGTTCTTTCCAAAGTCACATAAATAAGAGTGTATCTTGCTGTTCTACTGTCGAGCCGGAATAGAAGGAAAACGCATTTCCGACCGTATACTTCGACAAATTTTTGGGGCGAAATGCTCGCTGCTGGTCGGGTCGCAATTCAGGAATCCAAAATGACTTTGGTTCGGCCATTACCAGTTCAGTCCACTCTCACTGTAAATCTGGGTTTTAGATGGGCACAAGATGGGATTTCTTTTCGAAAATCGAATAAATAACGCTATATCTGACTGCTTTTACTTTACCAACGGGTCGGAATTGCAAGAAAACGTTTTTGCGACCGTCTAATTTTTAAGATTAACCAATCCTCTCAAACGTCAGTGATCCACGAACTTATGAAAAATTAATTGTTAAATATTTTGACCTAAAATTACCCCACACATTATCAACATAATGATGGGTTTCGAATCATAGCCAATGACCAAACTATCGTTAAAAATCAATTCACCAAGCCTACTTTATGAGATGAGTAGCTATACGTTGTTTCCCAAATACAATACTGAGTCGGTTTCCCCTTGCCAATAGCTTAGGACGGCGGCCTTGATAAGGACAGCTGTCTAGTCGTTCGGATGGGACGAACAACCAAGGCTCCGTGTATATATTGGCGTGCACTTAAAAGATCCCTTGTTGGAATTTGATATAAGAGTAGATCATAGTGCCGCTTTCCCGACAAAATGTCCCTCATAGCACACTGTATGACGTAAGCGGGTATTCAATAGCTCAGTATTGGAGCAGAACAGCAGGACGTTAAACACCATTTCACACAGTTTTGGTTAAATGTAATTTTGAATAAAATCAATCTTGTGAGATATTTTAGATTTTATTTCAGCAAAGTACAGGACATGAATTTTTTTTTTCAAAATACGCCGCCATTTTGTACAGATATAATTAGTTTCACCTTGGTACTAATTACGGCAATATATCCTTGTTTAGTAGAGTCTATATTTACGTTCGTGAACTTGTTACCTTTATTAAGCAGTGAACAGGCTTGGCGCTATTGGACAACGGGCTTAGATCGGAATAAGAATAAAAATTCAGGACGTCTCCCTGGAACATTTCATCGTTATACGCAAGTGTAATACTAGAAAATATTCCTGCTAGTAAATTGCGAGAGACATTACACATATGACTTTCTTTTACTTACGCTACCAAGCATGGGCGATTGCTTAATAATAATTAATTTAATAAAGCAAAATTATAAGCATGTGACTTGCCTTTAAGGGTGATGTACCTCGAACTTTGTTGGTCATCAGGAAAGATAATGCGACATACATAGGTGTAATTAAAGTCATCTATTGATGCATTATGTAACGTTAGAGTAATCTTCCCTTCTATACCATTAGCCACGTTTCGTATTGATATATTAAACATAAATAGTTTGCCATCACTATATGATGTAGAGTGAAACGTACCATTTAACCAATATCCAAAGTTGATCTGTTAAACATAAACATGCAATCTACAAATTATATATACACTCAAAGCCATTAAAAACGCAATGGCATTTTCAAAGTTTATTTAGTGCAACAACTTTTAACATTACATTTGTTTTTACTATTATTTAACTTCCCGAGAAAATGTGTCCGTTCAATTAAGGTATGGGACTGGATGCGTTTCCGTATAAGAAAACTACCTCGACGGCAGTCATTATATACATAGGTAAGTGTTGACGAAATGAAATAGTAATATTAATTACACCCGGTTATCAAAAAGCCCACGAAATATATTTTTGGAAAAAATGAAATGAAATGAAATGGGGTTTAACGTCCTACTGTTTTGCTCCGAACTGGGCTAATGAAGACGGGCATACACCATACAGTGTGCTATGAGGGAAATTTTGCCCGGACAGCGGCACTACGGCCTACTCTTATATCGAATTCCAACTGTCAAGGGATCTTTTACGTGCACGCCAATGTGTACACGGGACCTCGGTTTTTCGTCTCATCCGAATGACTAGACAGCTGTCCTTGCCAGGCTCTCCGTCCTGCATCACTGACAAGGGGAAACCACGCCGGAAAATCTGGATGAACTTTATATTTTTGGAGTTGACAAAATGCTTTCGAATTTTGAGTAGGAAATATGTATTTAAGTACGAACACGGTTGACAATGAAATTGATATTTTATAATACTTCAGTGCGCACTGTCACACATTATCAAATCGAACTTTTTATTTTAAAGGACGTTTAGCTCTAACGTCTAACTCCATAGTATCTATAATATGTGCCCCAATTCAGTATTTGATGCACAATGTCATGGACATGAACAGTAGTACGTTAAACCCCATTTCATTATATTTCATATCAGTTCGAGAGATTGGGTTCTCTATGGTTTGTAACACCATTTGTAATGTGAAGGCTTGGTGTACGAGTCAACACAAAAGTAATTAAAATGACTAATCCACAACGACAAAAAACCCCCAAAAAACTGTTAGGATTAACCATGGACCAAACGATTGTAACCTAGTTTGACTAAACATACCTGATTGAAAATTATAATAAAACAATATAAAAATAAATGTAAATCAGTTTGTATAAGCCTAAATGTATATAACATTAATGTGTGCTTTCGACCACTTTTGGTCTATTATAAGGCACCAACAAGTTGAGCTATAAAATAATTATATATTATAAGGCACCAACAAGTTGTTCTAGCCCATTAAAATAATTAATTAATCCTACCCGATGGTTTGTGTCATTTGTTCGAGTGAATAATATCATATATACGGGATATATATATTTATAATACCATACAAAATGAACAGATTCTTGAGGTAGAGCTTTTATAACTGCTGTTTCACTGTACATATGTAGTAGTACCTGCTCTATAGTATAAAAAACCCAATAACAATACATATAAAAAGTGACTTAATGAAATGAAATAAAAAGGCGTTTAACTACTGGTCTGCTCTGACTAGGTTAATGAACACGAGAGACGCAATAAAACAATACGAATAAAATATGCTGTCAAGTTACGATTGTCATTTAAAAAAAAACACTAAGGTGAATCGGGTGGAACTACTTTTATCATCCATGCCCTTTTGTGGTTAACCAAGAATATGTTACAATATGGATGAAGGAATTCAAGATACAGAACGACCAGTACATCAGCAAAATTATCAAAGGATCATTTTAATACCCCATGTTTTGTTTGCATATCATTTGATATTCCACACTGAATCCTCAATAAAATATCAAAATAAATATGCTTTCATTGACCAGTAACCCCGACCTGTCACTTTACGAAATGAAAGTAACGGGCTTATTAAGCCGTGTTCCGGCCAACAGACACATTGCTTTCATCGTTACGCACGGCATAGGGTGACAGTAATATTATAAGCTTCAATTGAAACTTACTGTCCATTAGATTCAAGGGTTTTTCATACTTGTAGCAGTCGTCGTTGAATTGTAATTTGATCATGTACTTGTATTTTGTATCATCCATAGTTATTCCTCGCACAATCAATTTTACTATGTTCGTTCCATCGCCATCGTTGATCAGATGAATGGTCATTCTCTCATCAGTGTACGAAATCGTCTTAAAATCCTTATTCCAGAAAGCAAGATTTTGCTGTAAATCAAATGTTGATACAAATTTAGATCCCCAGAGAGAGAGAGAGAGAGAGAGAGAGAGACAATAATTAAGTTAATGCTGTGATTTCGGGAAATATAACTGTGGTAGAGGGGTGGGGTAGGACACGCTGTTCTTATGTTCTTATCCACGTCGCTATGAGTTAAATTATAGAAAAATAAATATGGTTCAGATTACATTAAACATGTATAGTTTCTAACGTTTAAAGGCTTTTTTTTAAAAAAGAAAAAAAAAACTAGTTTCAAATGTGGTGTTTTTAACTGTTATCTTATCTGATATATAGACTTATTAACTGCATAATGCTAACATGCGAAATACATTATCATATACGGATCCTTATGGCATTGCAATGTTCTTGAATTAAAACAAAATGTATTATTAGAACTACCTACCTCGATGTTGTTTTGTCGGTATAGCCAAATCTTTCTTGCTACCTTTTTACTAAAATATTTCCACATAATAGTGACATTTCCACCAAAAGCAACAGGTCTGGTATAAATGTCATTTTTCCAACGGAAATCTATATTAAAATAAAAAAAAACAGACGTCAAATTGGATGTGTTTCAAAGATTAAACATTGGAATATACATTTTAGCACTGAATTTAAGTTTAGCAGCGAATTCCTCTAAAATAAAGGAGTTACAAAAGAAAGGTAGCATACCTGTAATGGTGAGATTAATATCTTTATATTCATGTGTAGAACCAATCTGACATCTATATAACCCAGCATCTGCGAATGTAACTTTCCTTATACGTAATATCTGTTTACCATCAAGTTTCTTGTGGATCCTGTATTTCTTGCTGTTGTACAATTCTCCATGATTTACCTTTGATGATACAATTTACAGAACAATTTAAACTACATATAAAAGTGGAGTATAATTATAAGACATTTTCCATTATAATAATGGTACTTTTAAAACACCACCATCTTTTCACTAAAGAATTGATCAGGATCGTAAATCATCATAATTAATCTGCTAATGAACACATGCGCAATGTGTTACGAGAGACATAGTGCCCGGAGAGCGGTTCTTGTACCAGTACGCCAACGTGTACACGGGGTCTTGATTTGTGCACCACCCGAACGACTAGACACTGCCCATGTCGGGCTCTCTGCCACTGATAATGGAAGGCCATGTTGGAAATATTCAGGGAAAATATTTTCGACAGACACTTGAATCGAACCCCGGGCATTCTAGCAAGTGTGTTAAGTCCTCAGCCACCGTATAGATCTAACACCGGGGCTCAAGGTTAGCAAACCAACGTCTTACTCATTGAGCCACTGTGGCTCCCCGTTACGTTCTAATGAACGAATGCTTAATATAAAAGTTTCATTAATAATAATACTAATAAAGTCACTCATATCGGGGCACACAATTTCTGATCGCGTCGTGGTATATAAATGGCTACCATGTTGGCAGACATACAAATTCTTATCGTGTCATTTACTATCGGGTTATTTACCATCCTAGGTTTGACATTAATGATTTGTTTACTGCTGATTGTCATTACCAACAAGTTAACTAACCTTTCTAATAGATGTTTTATAATTTGGTTTATCTAATGTCCAGATCAGCGAGGCGTCACACCCGACTACAGGTGAACCGGGCTCTTCTGTGGTGATATTCTGAGACCGGTAACCTGCATCAAAAAACTTAAAGCTATATATAACGGTTCACACAAAACATAAATCAAACAGAATAAAAAGATATGAAGGGTTATTTACAGGGACAAAATAAAATGGCAGAGTGCTTCTCTTCTGAGACCGGCAACCAACGTCAACCATTTTAAAGCTGTATATGCTGGTACGTATAGATAAAAAATCAAGCACAATCTTAAGATGTGAAAGTTCATTGTCAGACATGAAAAAAGCTGATGGAAGCCCAAGAACATTGATACAAATGGCGTGAAATTCTGGAAATCTCACACATGAAAACAGGAAGGCAATTCGAAAAACTGAGGGTCAACATTTTTATTTTTGACTTTTGTATCCAAAGCCCACTATGCTCTGGTGGAAAATACTGCGTTCACCCTTGTTAGTGTCGGGACTAGTTTGTAACAAGATTGTTTCACTTTATCGTGACCTTAAATCCACCAATAAGGTATTTCTTCTGTGAAAGGGTATTTGGTTTATTGATTAATACTATTTAAGTGGCATTTCACCATTGGGAAACACATCAATAGAACGCCGCTTTTATTCTAAAAGCACAACGTTTCGTAAAGTATACGATTGTTGCCTAAACAAAATGAGTTCTGTTATTAATATTGATTCAATTTAACTTAATATATATCATATTTACCTTGTAATAGTAAGCAGAATAGCCAGATATATGAGCCACCACTACGTAACATTGCACTTGGAGATACCTTTAAGCCTAGGTGGTGGCTTCGGTCCCCATCCTAATCTGTTATAAATAAGAGAGATAGGGAAGTCATATTCAAAGGGAAAGTGTTGTTGTTAGAAGTCTTAATTAATGTTATAATTCCATGGTCAAACCGTTTTACTCTTGGATATATTATAAATATGTGGTTGCTATTCATTATTGATCATTGTTTGATAACGATAACTGTAAGAGTATTGAAATGCATGTAATAAACCAAGAAATAGTAAATCCATAAAGTTGGTTTATTATGAATAGTATACTTCTACTTCTAAATTTGAAGCCTTTTTTGAATAAGCATATTTAAAAGATTGTACGGAGGGGCTGGTACGAATATCAGTATTATAACCGACGGGTTTTAAACCATTCCACGGGTTTGAGGCTAAAAACGAAAACGATCTTTCAACCTTGGGTTGAGACGATAGATGTCATTTGAACTACGGAGACTACGAGCATTTGTTGGTTTTTCAATTAGATGACACAAATAAGACTGGTCTAAGCCATGGAAACATTTATAAGCAGTTAAAATAATCTTAAATCGAATACGATATGGAATGGCTCGTCAGTGAAGTTGTTTAAGTATGGGAGTGATATAATCACGCCTTCTTGTGAGGGTAATAAGCCGCGCAGCCGTGTTTTTAACTTTTTGTAATTTGTATATTAATTGAATGCCAAAAACAATTAACAGGTGTAGAGATTTGTTAAGGTTCGATATCACAAAATTGAGGCATTCAAACAAGTTGAATACCCCATTTGTAGACAAGGCAAAGACCACCACCCCAAGACGCACGGGAAATATGTAGAAAACTGTAGCCTGCTGGAAGTATACCCGAAATAGTCACTGAATCTGAATTCTGGCTAAGCCATGTTTCAGTAATCGAGCACCGAATACTTATTCCTCATCAAAATAAAATCATTGATATCGCTGGTTTTATTCCTAAGATTAATTAATCCAGCTTTTAAATAATTGCTAGTTTGATATGAAACTGAAGATCTGGATATTGGAACTTTAACTAGGTTGTTCAGTCCAAGTTGACCCCTTGTCTTGGCTGGATGCTCTGTCAGAGATGAGTACAGGAATACCATGGATATTCTTTCGTCAATATGGTGAACGGATTGTTTAATATTATTATTATAGATTTGGCTATTTAATTGAGAGTTAATCCAATTAATTTTACCTTTCAAGTTGATACTATTGACAAATACACAAAAGTAAAATGTTAATTCATCATAAGAACTACCATAAAAGATGCAGCATACAGTTCCAAACTTTAGTACTAACATTAATCCAATTAAAATCCATAAATCAACACTAAATACAAAAAAAAACTTGGAAGAGATCTGAGGAGCTGTATACACACGCGAACTCAACTCAACTATTATGTCGTGGAAAAATGTTGGATTTCCGAAACAACTAACCTATTCTGAATTGAAAGGGCACAACTGTGTGATTAAACGGAATCCAATCCACATTTTAATATACCAACACATCATTAAGTACTGGTGGTTGTTCTATGGTCAAAATTTTAAAAAATTCTAAGGGTCCACAGTCAATAGACCACAACGGTAAAATATGCATAACATAATAGGGCTGATAAGGTATACATTGAATAAGTTATGTTTACAAAATTTAAGAAACACGCACAGATCTTGAATTTCTTGAAATACGTTTTATTGGCCAAGAAACCTCAGACAACATAACTTGGGCTCAGTTTAAACTTAATTCAGTTAAAGTATCATCACTTCCATCTATATCGAGTGGCCAGAAATAAAAAAAAACGAATACACTATTTTAAGTGGAATAATTCAAAGACTACAACACATGTATCATTTGTCATTCGCGTCTAATATTCTGATAGAGGATAACTTCAATCCAAATTGTGGGCTAATGTTAACCCGTCGTCCGTCCGCGCCGAGGGTGCAAAAAGCTGCCTCGACAGATATTGGATGTTGGGGTGGGGCTGCTATACGCATCGTCAAAGCGATCTAATATGGCCTAATTCCAATTAACCCAACATTCGTTTACAGTCCATAGAGAGGCGACGTCAGGCGAATATTCGGCGCGTTAATACAGCAACTTCAATGTGGTCAAGTGCGCTGGCCTCAATTTCAAATAAACAATCGTTTAGTAGTCGCGGGGTCTAATGGTTTAGCAATCGAAATCCCAATCTTTGCTGACCTGAATTCAAATCAACCAATTTGACTGTCGGAGCTGCATTCACAAATTATAATCTATGCCCGGGAAACGTCGCACAAAGCAGAGTGGTTCCGGACAAACTGTACACCATAGCCAACTTAGTAAAAATTAGCGGTATTCAATTAAAAGAAAAGTATAAATAGTATTTTATTAGATTTCGGATTTTGTTTTCACTTTAACCGTCTGTCGAAAAGTGGGATTGCTCGGACACGAATCATAGGACAGATTAAGATAATTAATGGACAATATCCCCTTGCGGAAAACCTTATGTAAACGCGACAGAAGCTATTGTCGTTGCCCCTGTCCATGCGTCCATAATTTCTTTGTGCACGCGCTACAGGTCACAATTCTTATCCGATTATGATGAAACTTGAAATATAGGTTTATCTCCAATAGGTTCCTTTGGCGTTTACCGGATCGAAACTTCATGGATTATGACCCTTGATTTACGAAAAATCACGTTTTTAAGTTGGGGACAGTCTATGCATGTGAAATGCATGTTTATAAATGTAGGTTTTTTTCCCAGAAGATCTCGGCTCCTTTCGATATTGGCATGGATTATGACCCCTGATTGTACAAAAAAAAAATCACGTTTTTAGCTGGTAGACACTTTAGAAGTCACAATTTTATTTTTATCCAATTTAGATGGAACTTGAAATATATGTTTATAACCCAAAAGATCTCCATTGCCCTCGATTACGGCCCCGGCTTAACGAAAACACGCGTTTATAGCGTGTGGTACCTTTAAAGATCACAAATTTTATCCTATTTAAAAACAAAACGTTAAAATGTATCTCCTTTACACCATAATGATGCTTGAGTTAGAATTGCGTGCAAATCGGACCGAAACTGCCGGACAAAATGGCCACTCTATGTACGCAAATAAAAGTATGTAATATCAAAGTTGTGGACATTCTAGAGGTCACAATATGATCCGATTTTGATGAACCCTAAACCATGTGTTTATGTCCCAAAGATCTCGGAGCCTTTCGACATTTGCGCATATCGGACCGTAAGTTCCTGGATTATGACGCCCGATTATATGTGCAATTGTGATGTCACAATTTTTATCCGCATTTCGTGAAAATCAGACCGAAACTGCCCGACAAAATGCTCGCAAATCGTGTAAAAGTATGTAATGGTTATGGACTCTCTAGAAGTCACAATATTTATCTGATTTTGATGAAACTTAAAATATATGTTTATATCCCGGATATTTTGATTCCTATTGATATTCGCACATATCGGAACATAACTTCCTGGATTATGTCCCCTGATGCCTGTTTTTTGTCCATCCTTTGCAAAATCTGGGGGTATCTTGCATTACAACCGCTTGTTAACATAATGTAATAGTTTTTAAATCTTATAACCCCTCATGTTGTTTTAAAGATTATTCTACAGGCTACCTTAATTAGATGAATTCTGTTATAACCTGTATTGGAGTATAGACAAGTATTGTGAGGGTGGCGTCTTTAGTTACAGACAATAAACTTTAATTGGTGTTTAACTAAATTGGTTTTTATAAACTAGTTGCTATATGGTGTATTCCCGCGAAGGCGCAGTTACAGAGCGTGACCAAAATTAATCCTTCCCGCGAAGGCGCAGATATGGACGTGTCGGCTTTCATTTGAAGAGAGACATGCTGTTATTAGGACCCAATTATCGGTGTTAAAGATTTTATGAATTTATGTTCACTCTGAATTTTATTCACCAATTGACAACTAATGATGAATATCATCAAATCACCCAAGGAGTGTTAACCTATTCGCTCACTAACACAATCAGTGTCATTTTAAAGATATAAAATCCCGTTGCACTATCCGAAATTCAGATAATATTCTACAAAGGCACACGCACAACTTGAAGTCAGCTTTGTACCTACAAATCGCGGAGGACGATATCTTTGCTCAGGAAAACACCCAGAAAACACCATTTTATACTGAATACCGGAAAACACCGGAAAAACACTAAATACCGGAAAACATCCTAAATACCGGAAAACACCCTAAATAGGTTACCCGGAGCTTCAACAAAACCAATCCCTTCTTTGTTTGACGAAGAACTGGGTAAGCTTCGTGGCGGAGAATGGACAGATGATTCTAAAATGGTATGTATTTCTTATCTGATGCTAAAATGTTGGTTAATTAGTTACAGTTGGGATTATGAAAGTGTAAATTCTTATCATAACAATCTATAACACCATTTTTACGCGAAGTCGTCGAAAACGACCTTTTTTAATCCGTTATGGTCAATAACTGCGCCTTCGCGGGAATAAACCTGCTATATATATATATATAATTGAAATTAAAGATGGCAAAATAAAACTACATTTTTATGCTAACGTTTTCACCGCGATAGCATAAAAATGTAGTTTTATTTTGCCATCTTTAATTTTAATTATATATATATATATATAGCAGGTTTAATTAACTATTCTTTAGTTATAAACAATAAACTGTAATATGTGTTTAACTAAATTAGTTGCTATAAACTATTTGCTAGGAATGCATAATGTAGCATGAAAGAAAGACATCAAGTAGACCCCTCATTAACCTGCTATACATGTAATACAGTGTTTGTTTCATTTAAGGTAAGTGTATTTTTGTATATTATTTGTTTTAAAACTATCGATGCACTCCAGCGAGTAAGAAAGCTTTTACACCTACCCCCCCCCCCCAACTTAGGTAAATATTAATATGTCAATTTATTTTAATTATATGTTTCTTATTAGAATATATATATATTATTAATACTTTATTTTATGTAATTATATTTTTAATTGTCTCGTATAAATATGATTATGAATAGATATACATCCAATAGCTTT